ACTGATGGTAAATATTAAATATTATTATATTAATTACATACATAAATGTATATATATACAGTGAAGAAGCAGAAAAGAAACTTACAATAAACACAAATACATCTTATCTATTACAAGTTACTGAAGAACCTGATGATTTTCCACCAACTCCACTCCCACCATCCCCTCCACCACTTCCTACATTCATAACCAGTAAATTAGATGTTGAGATGGATCCAGACGTACTATTGGGAAATTGTCATGCTGATATTCAAGCAATGCTTGATGCTTGGTGTATGATTACCGGTGAAGCAAAATCAGAACAAGATCCTGTACCTGTGGATATTTTAGCTGCAGTGGAATCTACAACAAAAGCTGTCCAATCAATTAGGAATTATACAATGGTAAAAGATGATATAACAGACGAGTCACTTGCGAAAATAAGATCTTCTGCCTTGGAAGTTCTTGAGATGATAAGTGATCTTGAAAAAACTCATCGTGATGATGACACTGACGATAGTGGCAGTGAAGATGGCCATTTGTACAAATCGTCTAATTACACTTCACTGGATAAACAACGTGCTACTTTACAGAAATACATTCAGATAGTCGAGGAATTTTTATTATTTGACGATAAAGAAATTTATCCACCAAACACTTCCTATTTAAGAACAAATTCAGATGATGAAAAAAAAGATAGTCATCTATTATCTCAATTAACACCCCCATTATCTCCAGGTCATCCAAATCTTGATTGGTCAAATCCTGATCATTTTGGTAGTGACAAATTAGGTAAAATAAAGTTGAACAAATAAAAAAGTGTTATATGAATTGTGGTTTATTTGGAACCGAACATTTATATGATAGTAGTGGTCTATTAACACACATGTTTATATAATATGATTATATATTTTAGCTCGATATCATGCATTTTTAGAGGCTCACCGTCCATCAAAATCTAAGAGATTACCTGATTATACGCCTCTTCCAGATCCAAAATCTGACAAAGCAGGATTCTTTGCATCTTTAGCGTAATTATTATTATTATTATTATTATTATTATTATTATTATTATTATTATTATTATTATTATTATTATTATTATTTTTATTTTTATTTTTATTTTTATTTTTTTTATCATTATTTATTAATTATTAATTGATATTATTATTATTATTATTATTATTATTATTATTATTGAGTTTATTGAGTTTATACAATCAACTCAAATAAATAATAAATAATAAACAAATATTGTTAAATAGCATTTAATAATAATAATTTTTTTTTTATATCGTTTAGAAGTTTCTTTTTAGCTGGTTAAATCTTTTTTTAATTTATTAGAGTGGAAGGGATATTGACAAGTTCAATTTCATTATTTTCAGTATACAATTAAAGATTTCTTAACATGTCTTTAGCAGTTTTTTTTTCTTTCTACATTACCAGTTAGAAATGTTTCCTTCAACTTTTCAACCATCTCTAATGCTTTTGCCACTGCCTTTTTACCCCGAATATTTGTTTGCTTTTCAAAGTAAATCCAGGTTTAATGGAGTTGGGGATATCCCAGAACTTTGAGATACTAAATTATGTCGCACGTAAAAAAAGAAGATTCTTTCGGTTTTATGTATAACCGCCCCGTTCCTATCTTTTATTATGTAAACAGGGTTTTAAAAAAATCAAATTCCTTCCTACAATAGTTTTGATAAATTAGTACTAGTTTATTTCTAAAATTAAAATTTTAAAGTGCTTCTTCATAAATTGATTTTTTATAAATAATTTTTGTAACGTAAATTTCGGGATCAAATTTAATTGGATGAGCATTTTATATAAATTTTGTCAATATAAAAAAAATACTATACCAAAATTCCCTTCGACTATTTTAAGGCGGGAATTTGCTATATTAATATTGTTGCATCATCCATTGTGTATCAATTAGTAAAATCCGCATGGTATATTTATTATTATTGTTATTGTAGCAACTTGTTTCTTTGACAATTTTAAACCTCATGTAAAATTAAATTAAAATTTAAAAATATTAATATGGGAATCAAAAAAAAATAAATAAGTCTGCGTTTATAAATAAAAACTCGTATCTCGCATTTTATTTATTATGTATTTGTGTAATAAATAATAAATAAATACATGAAGAAATTTAATTTTTAAAATATTTTTAATTCGAAAGGAGAAAATAATGCTAATTCCATGAACACTTTCTCTAAAGGAAAAAATAAATTTTTTTTAAAAATAAAAGCTTACACTCTTTTTACATCTTTTTTTTCCTTTTCTTATCTTCTTCTCTCCATCCTTAATTAACACGATAATCATAAAAATAATAACATTGTTTATAACAAATAACAGCCAATTAATCTAATGTCTACTGCATCCTCACATTCTTCCTATTCCTCGCCCTATTGGAGTGAGCGTGGTGAACATCGTACAAGTGGAGATAGTGGAATATCATCAGTCTCTGTTATTCATTCCCCAGTATGCATAATTCTCATCATTACAAATTTTCATTACAAGTCCTGCTTGACTGATAACAATTTAATAATAATAAATGTTGTATGTTCTCTCCCTTTTTCTCTACCAGACACGTTTACCAATAGCTTCGAAATTTTCACCAACATCAAGCTCGTTTTCATTTAATAAAAATAATGAATATACTACGGAACATTTAGATACAGATGCAAATTGGTATAGAAAATATTTTTACGGAAAAGGTAATTAATTAATTAATTAATTAATTAATTATCAATTATGGTTATTTTCTAAATTTTTTTATCAATTAATTGCGCATTTATTATATTTTTTTTTTACTTTTTTTTTTTTTTTAGATCATACAACATATGTGGGCCATGTAGAGCCATACGGACCAATTATAGTATCATTGATATTGGATAGTGTTACAATGAATCATAATAATGTTGAGATATATTGGTATAGATATATATTTAGGACAAAGGAAGTGAGTTATCATAATCAACATAGATTATCATTATAACAATAACAATTATTATTGCACTTATTAAACAATTAATTAATTAATCTGTAGTTACCGGATGAAAGAGGAATATTATCAGGCCCCGTGATGCCTCCTTTTGGTGATCCACCATGGGATGATTTATTAAAAATGATCTCTAAGGATATTTGCAATAGACGTTTAACAAAATTTATAACAACACCAAAATTGGGCATAGAAATATTAAATTTTGATGAAACAAGGGTAATTATTTGTAAAAAAAAAAAAAAAAAAATTTTTTTTAATAATTCAATAATCAATTAATTGTAATCAATTGTTTAAAGCTGCGTAAAAAATATAAAGTTGGAGTCTTATATTGTGCACCTAATCAAACAACAGAAGAAGAATGGTTTTCAAATACTACCACATCAAAATATTTTGATGATTTTCTTTCAATATTGGGTGCAAAAGTTAGACTGCTTGGGTTTGAAGGCTTTGGAGGTGGGTTGGATACACGTACAGACGGAACTGGGGAATATTCACTTTACGATAATGGTACATGGAAAGATTTTGAAATAATGTATCATGTTAGCACAATGTTGCCATATGACAAAGTTGATAGACATCAAATAGTTAGAAAAAGACATATTGGGAATGGTAAATATTTTATTTATTGAATCAATTAATTACACATTCAAGATGCTTATAATAATATTATATTGTGTATGTTCACTTCAATCAATAGATATTTCGTGTATTATATTTCAAGATACTTTTAGACCATTTTCCCCTGCGTCTATAAGATCGAAATTTTTACATGTATTTGTAATAGTGAGTCCGGTTCAATTAGAGAACGGCAAAGTGGGTCATAGGTAATTATTTTTAATATTATATAGGACGTTAATATTTTATTTTAAATTTTAAATATTTATACTTTTTATTCGTAATTTTTTTTATAGGGTTGAAATAGTTTCTAAAGATTCAGTTCCATATTTTGGGCCACCTTTACCTGATCCACCAATATTTGATGATACTTTACGATTAAAAAAATTTTTAATTGCTGCTGGTAATTAATCAAATAATATTTAATCAATCAATCAATCAATCAATCAATCAATCAATTGTTTTATCTGTTTGCTTTAAGTTATAGTTACTTATCATTGATTGTTTTTTATTTAGTGATTAATGGACAAAATGCAGCCTGGAAAACTGCACAATTGGCAGAACCATTTTTGAGAGCCAGACGTGGTATAATAGAAAACATAACAAATAGATTAGTGCCAAACCCAAAAAATCGCATTGACAATAATGAAAGTAAAACATCGGCAGAAAATGTACATAAAAAGCCTACACAAGAAGAATTAGATCACACATTAAGACGTCTCTTTGTAGAACAATTAAAGTCGGGCGGACCACCACCCGATATTGTACAAGTTCAAACACTTTTGAAACAAGGCGCCAACCCAAATATAAAAATACCTCAACCTAAATCATCAAAACCAAAACCAAAACCATCAAATCAACTCGATTCTTCAAATTATCAGTGTGATGGGTGTAAAAAAGGCGACCTTGATTTATCACCTAGAGCATTCAAAGTAATTTATCTTATTTTATTCATTTTTTTGAATTTATTATATGAAATATCTAAAAATCATATCATTTATCATTTAGAAAATTGCAGATCTAGATGATGGAGTAGTGCCAATTACTTGGGAAGGCTGTTAATTTGAAATATCAGTAATAATCTAAAATCATCTAAATAATCTTAATGTAATTTTATCTTTTGTATATTATATGATGGATAGACAGGCAAATAAAATAAAATAATATAATAAGAGAACAATGATTTATTTATTTTGTAATGCGAATTTTAGTTGTTATTACAGGCAATTTCCAAATCCATTACCAATTTGTTAAATTTGTTTTTGTGCAATAGAAATATTTTTAATGAGGGTAAAATACCAAATTCATAAAAACTTCTTTTGAAATCTGATTCTGTAGAAAAAGACAACGAATGAAAAAGAGACATTTAATTAATAAAAATTAATTAAATATCATATAATTATATATAAACATTTACTTGTTCAATTATTTCTGAATGAAAATAAAAAAATTTGATTCAGATGATGACTAGAAAAATAAAAAAATAAAAAATATCCATTAAATTAAATATTTTTAATATATGTTAAAATCCTTCATGAATCTAAATATAATATATACCAATTTAGTCTTCTTTCTTTTTCCTATTTGTTGTTCCTCTTCCAATTCTTTATCTGCCATAGATTCAACTCCTTTATAAACTTTTGTTATAATAAGAAACCATTCAAATTCAAATGGTTTATTCTAATGGCAAATAATTGATTAAAAAAATAAATAGTATTATCTCAATTGTTCATATTAATCTTTTTATTTTACTTACATCTTCAATTGCATCCTCAATTTCTTCTTGAAGCATTTATTTTATACAACGGTGGAATAATTTCCACTGGTTATCAATCTCTCACTTAATATTAATCCAATATTTTTATTCCTATTCCTATTATTATTATTACTGTTGTTACTGCTGTTATTGACTATTGATCGAATAGCTCTAATAGCATTTCATTTAATTTTACACCTTTACTAGTTTTTTCTAATAAATAATTCTTCGTGCATTTTTTATTCTAAAAAATAAAATAATTAATAAATTCATAATCAATTATGATGAATTATTTTCAACAATTATTACCTTGTGTTCATTGATATTTTAATACAGTTAGAAATGCAAAAGGATCAGAGTCACTTCCATCCACTTTAACAGTTGTGCCTACTGATGGTTGATTTACAATCAATTCTGTTAATTCACTCAACTCAAACAACTCTGAATCTGAAGAAAAAATTGTTTTAACAAAGTTTTTATTGAATGAAAATCACTATCTTTGGATCAAAAAAATCAAAATCAACATTTATTATTTCTTCTCCCTAATAAATACATTAAATTATTAGATACTGAATATTAATTATAGTGATTATAGATTAGGGATCATATTATATAAGAAAAATCAGTAATTTGTAGTGAATTTATTGTAATTGATGATATTTCATTATCAGAATTATCAGAATTCTCTTCTTGTTCATTACCATCCTCCTCTGCTACTTCTTCGTCTTCGGTTATATCCATCTGATCCATCTGATCAGCTGTTTTATCAACTTTGCGTTTACTCATGACTCGTTATTATTTAAAATATTCCTGTTGATCTTATCGATCATTAATAATAACTATTTTTATCTCTTTTTCAAAAAAAAAAAAAAAAAAAAGAAAAGAAACAAGCAACAAAATAAAAGTCCATGAAGAAGCTCATGCGCAAGTGTTTTTTTTTTAAAGGTGGAGTGGTTGCATGCAAATACTGCCACTATTGCTGTTAACTCTAGTTATTAATTTAAAAAAGCATGATAGATAATCTACATTTTATTTTTTAATCAATCGGTACATGCATTATACAGCCTGATTTTAAATTTGAGGATATGGGAATTGGTGGCCTAAATTCAGAAATTAGTATGATATTTCGTTATGCTTTTGCTTCTCACTATTGCTGTTAACTCTAGTTATTAATTTAAAAAAGCATGATAGATAATCTACATTTTATTTTTTAATCAATCGGTACATGCATTATACAGCCTGATTTTAAATTTGAGGATATGGGAATTGGTGGCCTAAATTCAGAAATTAGTATGATATTTCGTTATGCTTTTGCTTCTAGAATTTACCCTCATAGTTTAGTAGAAAAATTAGGAATCTAACACATGAAGAGTTTGTAACAATAATGAAAATTTCTTATGAAGGATAAAATAAAAAATATTTTTAACTGGAATTATAATTAGTTGAGAAAATATTTGGAGAAAAATATTTGGTTTATTTGAAGATTGTACAAAGGAAGGTAATAGTTGGGGATTATATAGTGTTGCCTGGTGTTATTCAATGGGAATTGGTGTAGATAAAAATGAAAAAGAGGCTTGACATATTATAATATTTGATGAATTAGATGCTATATGTAAACAACATGGTTTTGGTAGTAGAGCTGGTGTCAGTGATAGTGTTGTAAATCAATTATTGGCAAAGGCATTTTTTTAAATGATAACAATGATAATTTATAAAGATTAAAATTGGGAAATTATATATAGATGTATGGTGTTGAACAACTGATCAATGTATAATCTTTGGTATGACTAATTGATTGATGAGGCCATACTTCATCCTGGTTGGTTTTAATCTGTATAAAAAGAAAATAATAATAATAATAATGAAGGCTTTTTTTATAATGATTTTTTTTTTGGTTCTTAAAAGGTCATTTGGAAGTTCATATGGAAATTGGCTTACCAGATGAACAAGAAAGATTACAAATATTGAAAATTCATACTTCAAAGGTAAAAACAAATTGTTTAATAAATAATAAGCAAATTATTATTTATTTACATTTTAAATTATAGACAAAAATAAATGATATTTCGGATAAAGATGTTGATCTTGAGGAATTAGCTAGTTTGACCAAAAATTTTAGTGGAGCAGAAATCAACAGACTTCTTTAGAGTGCTAGTTCATTTGCATTTAATAGACATTTTAAAATAGGAACACTTGCAGGAGTGATGCCAGATGTTGAAGATATGAAAGTGAATAGGAATAATTTTCTAGCAAGCATTGGATGAGTGCATCCAGCTTTTGGTGTCAGTGACAAAGAGTTGAAACAGTGCATCTAAAATAAAATTATTTTATTTGCATCACATCACATATTGAGGTAACGAATTAAAATATAATCAAATTTTATATATATATATATTCTCAAGTGTTATTATATAATTTTTATTTGTTTAGAAGATATTATCAGGTGGATGACTTCTTATTGAACAAGTTAAAAAAGTTCCATAACTCCACTTGTCAGTGTTCTGCTATATGGTATAGTATTTTTAAAGTTATAACATACATGATAATATATTTAATATATTTCAATATATTGATTTTATTTGATATATTATTAGGACCCTCTAGCAGTGGTAAAACAGCATTGGCAGCTACAATGGCAATGACATCAGAATTTCCTTTTATAAA